TCACATTGCAAATCTGTGCCCGGCCTGACAAGGGCATGTTAAAGATTTCAGGCCAAAAGGGCATTCTACTCTATGGTCATCTTTTAGGGGCATTCTGGCATATATCTGAACTTTTTTCAGGGGTATAACTCAAACTTCCCCAAAAAGAACGCCTGAACGGAAGGGGGGGGGGAAAYAGAAAAAAGAGCCTGAACTACTGGGCAAGGCCAACCATAGATAAAAGATGTCATGGACACCAACWCYYAGGGCCAAGTCCAACCTGGCASATTCTTCATTTCTGGCTGCTGCTTTTACATAATCTTGGTAAGGAATCGCAATTTAGGTAGGTTGTGTGCACGCACGGGCATAATGGGGACATTGCATCTTTCCTAGAAAGGAATACCTCCCTTGGCACTGGATCTGCCAAATGGGCATCCCCCATTGAAACAAATATGGACTCAAGGAGCACGGGGAACCAAAATGCCACCACGTGGAGGCCTCGTCCACACGCATGTGGTTCAATGCTACACCCCACACGCATGTGGTTCAATGCTACACCCCTCAACTGTTGATAAGCGGMATCCTTTTTTTTCTTTTTTTTYCCTTTTTTTTTGCCCTTTGGGCTAGCTATGCGGCAGTTGTGAAAACAGTTTAAAAACGGACTTCGGTCATTCCCCCGAAACATAACACACTCCCACGTGACCCTACCGGAYCRGAGAGCTAGCTTGTATACATTCCACATTTCCAGGCCAAACTACTGAAGTGCATTTTATGATTTTTAAAAACACTTCGCTGTGGTTTTCTCATTTTTTACTTTGAGAAACTTCGGGGCAGGAGCCCACATAAGGTGGGGACTGTGGGACCTGTGAGGAAGACTCCATCTATTGGTGCGGAGCAGCACCTGCCGGGAAAAAAAGGGAAAAAAAAAAACTGTGATTCTCCCTTCCCAAAAAAAGGAAAAAGAAAGATAATGACCGTGAAGCCCGTCGCCCTCTGGAAATGAAGGGACGAAAGCAGACCCCTTTGGGCTGTGATTAGTAACCAAGGGTCTCGTTAGACACTCCTAAAATAATCCTCAATTTTTTAGGACGAGTCCTAAAGATTTTTTAGGATTTCGCGCGGCGTCGTTACACGCAATCCTAAAAATCATGTTTTAGGATTTGTCCTAAAAGGTCTCCCGAGGCCGGTTTTCATATGCGTATACGCAGCCGCGCCGCCGATGTCTGTCCATTCCTAGCTGGTGTCAGTGGTACACACTGCGGTGGCCCTTGGGAGGGTGAAGACGGGTCGGTGAAAAGCGCGGCAACCCCGAACTTAAAAAATTCAAATTCGAATTTTTGCGAACGCAGGGTGGCGGGGCGGATGACGGCCAGGCGGTGTGTGTGACGTAGAAAAGACGGCGCTGGCGAACCGTTCGGTGCGGGGACCCATCTTTCGAGTGTACGCAAGTTGTGACCAGCGGGCGCATCTTCACCTCCGGCGTCCGTACTGTCCTCAGGAAGCGTAGAGCAGCGAGCGCGTCTTCGGCTACGGCGTACGTCATCTCTTGTGCCAGCGTACAGCAGCGGGCACATCCTCGACTCCGGTGAGCGTGGTTTTTTGCGCTGGGCTGAGCAGCGGGCGTGTCTTCGGCGGCTATGGCAGGCGTTACACTATAGAGGCGGAACGATTCTCAGAGATGGACGTTCGCGACCGCGGGCATGGTCTATGCGAAGAAGCGATCGACGCGGCGGCGATGGCGGTGACCGTCGTCGTCGTCAACACGATGAGCGACATGTCGTCGTCCTCACGCGACATGCTGATGCAGCTCCGTAAACGAAGAGTGTTGTTGCAGAGCGTTGCCGAAGCGCCGGATTGCGTGGCCACGTGTGAGGCAGTCCTCCAGTTGTGTGCCGCGCTGTCTTCTAGCGTTTTCCCGCGGCAGACCCCGCGTTGGTGGATTAGACGACGGACTGGCGGTACGTGGGAGGACGTCCGTCTGTGTGATGACGCAACGGACGATTATTACCGCCAGAAGTTGCGCATGTCGAAGGCCACGTTCACCCAGATCGTAGCCGCGTGCGCCACGTACGTGGAGAAGAAGGTCACGCACTATAGGATGCCATTGCCAATGGAGCAGGTGATCGCTTTACGGGTGGGCTTCCGGAGAGACGTACAAGAGCGGCACATCAGCCTTCGACATCGGGAGGGCCACTGCACTACAGGCCGTCCGCAACATGACTTCCGCGCTGCTGCAGGCGTACCCCGACGCAATCAAGTGGCCAGTGGGCCGTAGATGTGCGCAGATTCTGCGTGCTTTCAGTGAGAAGGGTTTCCCGAACTGCTTCGGCGCAATCGACTGTACACACATCTACATTGACAAGCTCGCCG